TACGTACGTACGTACGTACGTACGTACGTACGTACGTAGTAGTAGTAGTAGTAGTAGTACTACGTACGTACGTACTATAGTCGTCGTCGTGTCTTCTCTTCTCTCTCTCTCTCTCTCTCTCTCTCTCTCTCTCTCTCTCTCTCTCTCTCTTCTCTCTCTCTCTCTCTCTCTCTCTCTCTTTTTATACTTTAATTCATAGGAAACTCTCATGAGAAGTTATTAAAGTTTCCTCTGGTTTGCCTCTCATGATCAGGTACTTAGATGGGCATGCTCGTTTCTATCGACAAACAATATTGTTAGGTGGCTTCGTTACTCCAGGTACAATATTTTGTCCTTTTTTTTGTGTCCTTCATCGTCATCATCATCACCCAAACCTTATCCCAACTATTTGGGGTCGCCTTGCCAAAAGGGAATGGATTCGATCGCCAACCCTATCCAATATAAGTCTAGGTGCTTGATATTAAGTCGTTCGACCTGCCCTGATCGAAAGTCATTCTGCTCTTCCCCCTATGTCCGATCAAGTGACTCCTATTCCTGTCCTTGCTTTCATGGCCAGAACACCTGCTTCCCTCACCCAACAAGAGTCAAACCCTTGTGTCGAAAGCTTTTCCGTTAAGTCCTTTCAATGCATTGCGCAGAAGCCCCACATTTTCAGACTAAAGAAACCTCTTTCATGAATCTTCGATGTTCAATCTCCCTGGGCCTTTCCCAGAAATTTCAACACCAAAGAAAGATCCCCCTAATGTTCTCTTTCATTAGGGCATTATGTCTTCTAAACTCTTTGGTTTAAAAGCGAAGCTACAAATACAATTATATTCCTTAACTAGCGTAGCTCCATCTCTATCTAAGCGAAGCTAATACAGCTTACTAAGCTCTATGCTTTCATGTCCTTACAATTAATTTTAGATGATATTCTTTCCTTTTTGTATGATGTGGGAAACAAGTGCATACTAGATTATTTTATTCAATGTTTTCAATTAGGACACATACTGCATCATTAGAGAAAATGACATACAAATCTTTCAACAGCGAGCTGATTTTCTTTTTATCACTGTGGGTCAGGCCTTGTTCCAGCTCTAATGGATAATCCATCATTGGGGGTTTACGTATAACAGCAAAGTGATGTATCTTATGATCTTATCAAATGTGGGATTTTGGACTCAACTTGCTTTGGAGTCCAATGCACTATGTGGCTCGATGAGATTCCAATGCAGGCGCATCACTTCCAAATCATGATTTCTTGTCCAAAGCTCCCTTATGCACATTTGAATTTAATCAAATCATGATTTTTGGATCTCATCTTATATAGCTGGATCAGAGACCAACGTCTCTAAGTACATATAATGACTCTCCATTTCTTGTATGATCGGATTCAATGGACTGGTGTTTATAGTGAAGAGATGAGGTAAAAAAGTAACCATATAAGAAAAGGCAGTGCTTGACTTTACCTAAGGTTGTTGTGGTTGGTAAGGAGACAGTGTCAACTGTGGTGTGTTGGATGAGTCACCAATTGTTGTGCATAAGGCCATTACAAGCCAAAATTAAACTATTCTCCTATGGGGTTGATAACCTAAGGGACCTTAGTCTCTCTAGACCCATGATGATTTATTTGAAGTGTTTTGGAAATGACACGATCTGTGCACTTGACACAAATAAAGATTTCATCATAACTAGAATTGTTTGTGTTAAGCACAAAATGGAATAATAAGATCGTGTACCAGCATGGTTATGAAAATTCTAGATTTCCTTTCTTTCCAATACTTCCCCCAAATGATGTTGGAAGGGAGAGATCCCAAAATTTGGTTGCTTTCATAATTCAAGGGGCCAAATAGTCAAATGCTTTAATGTGTTGGGGATCTGGAAAATACACAATGTGCCAAAAAGAGTCATGGGGACCTAGTCTCCTTGGCTAAGAATTGATATGCATTATCCAGGGAGAGTTTTGTACTTTCTAACAATTTTCTTTAGCATTGTTTTTGACATCTGCCTTTGTGTGCTACCTTATAAGAGCTAGGGATGTTCCCTACAGATATTACATGCTCCATATGCTGAAATTGATTTATGACTTATTTCATACTGGCTTTATGTCCCCGTATGTGTCCATTTTTTCAGCATTAATTAGAAATTAGTGTATTGAAATGCAAAAAGAAATTCTGAATATGTACTATCCTTCCTTGAGGCTAGTTTTGGTATGATGGAGGGAAAAATATTTTTATTTAATTTCAAATGATGTATATTATATTTTAGTTTTACGGTTTATTTTTAGAGGTTTTTAGTTTTTTTAGGAATTCTAAAGTTTTTATTTATTTCATGATTACTGTTCATGGTACTGTTCATAGAGGTAAAATTGTCATTAATTTTAAGTTACATTAAGATATATGAGTCAACGTATTATTTGTTTGGACACTTTTTGTACTTAAAAAAACATTAAATTTATAATATATAGGAGGTGTGTAGGGCCTTGAGGCGGTCATTCCACATGATTTTTAGAAATTGAAAGAGAGAAAAACTTAAGCTTTTGCGACCCTAGCTTGGGTGTGGAGAAGAAACCCTAGGTTCCTTTGAATTTTGCTTGTGTTTGGCTTGTTTTTTTTTGGTTTTACTGTTTCCTCAAAGTTCCCTATATCAAATTGATATCCGAGCCCGACGATTCATTCGGATAATACTGCAGCAAAGAAGTTACTGTTGCAGTGTACGGAAGTTATTGGAAAACTGTAATGACAATACTGTAGTATCGATTTTTGTGCCTTAGATCAACAAAAAAGCCTAGATCTTGCTGAGTTTAGCAGGTGTTTTGCTGATCATCTGCTTAGGTTTTGTGATTTTGGCGATTCCATGGTGGCAAGATGAGACCGTGCAAGGTGGGTTTAGAGATCCACTCCGTGATCCCAGAGATGAGAGAATTGAGGAGCTTGAAGGACAAGTTCAACAACTGATGGAACAGTTTGCGAGCTTCAATGATGGGCAAGATGGTCATCTTTCAGCCTAAGAGAATCTCGAGTACAAGCCTTTTCACTTTTGTGTTCCTCGTAGGGAGTCGAGTGATGACGATAGTGACAGTGGGGAGCATCACTCTAAGGTTTTCTATTTAAAAGATGAGATTCCTGATGTTGACACAGATTGCATAAAAAATCAGCAAGTTGTTGATTGGGATTCACCACCAATGTTCAATATCTATTGAGATGAACAACAAGATCTCTTTGTGATAAGGATTAAGATTATAATGAAGATATTTTGGAAGAGGGTGAAGAATATGGAGAGAAAGCAGTTGGACTGATCCAAATCATGGCCTTTCAAGATCTCATTAAATCAAAGAGGTAGAGCATTCAAGAAATTTAGGGCATTAGAATCAATCACAAATGAAACCTGGCCAACACATGAACTGCAAATTGTGATCCTGATTTCAAAAAATAATGGAAATAGATGTTGAGAAAACTTTTAAACACCATAAAATTGGGTTTGAAGCTTCCTACACGATTTTCAATGGGAGTTCTAATCGTATTTGATAAATTTGCATTGATTCTTCAATATACATATCAAAATCCGTTTCATGAGGAATTCTTTTTGACACGAATGATATTGGAGCCGATAAAGAAAAAGAAGGTTTAAGAAGGTGGTTTCGATGCTGAATTAATCTTAGCACATCTTCAAACTCAAGGGTGAGTTTTCTCCAACTAGGGGAGAATGACGGAGGGAAAAAATTATTTTTATTCAATTGCAAAGGATATATACTATAGTTTTACAATTTATTTCTAGAGGTTTGAGTTTTTTAAGGAATTCTAGGGTTTTTTTATTTTTTATTTATTTATTTTGTGAGTACAATTCATAAGTATTATTCGTGGATACAGTACTGGGGTAAAATTGTCATTACAAATTTAATTGAAGTTAGCATAAATGGGTCAATGTATTATTTGTTTGAACACTTTTTGTACTTGAAATGTTAAATTATAATATAAAAGAGGTGTGTGGGGCCTTGAGGGGGTCATTCCACATGATTTTTAGGAATTGAAACATTAAATTATAATATAAGAGGTGTGTGGGGTTAAGAGAGAAAAGCTTAGGCTTTTGCAATCCTAGCTTGGGTTTGAAAAAGAACCCTAGGTCTCTTTGAATTGTACTTGTGTTTAGCTTGTTTCTTGTTAATTTTACTGTTTCCTCAAATTTCCATGCATCACGGTACCACTTGTTTCTTTCGCTTTATTATATCTTCACAAGTTTCTGTACTAGTTCTTTGCAACGAAAACCTTTGTTTAGTACAAACTAACTTGATATGCTATGCGATTCTGCAAACAGAAATGAATGCATTGTTCCATCAACATTGTGTCAACTACGAAGGAAAGGTATGCTGCTGATATTTGATCTTCGTTGTGAGATATTTCATATGATTTATTCTTCTCTCGTTTCAGGTTAAGGTTCTTTGTGCATATAAAGGTGTTCTTCCGAATGTGCTTCTTCCTGTACGGCAGGTATGCCTTTTTTTTATCTCATTCTCTCTTTTTAATAGGAAAGGTAAGTTATGCATTCTCTTGAGAACTGTTCGATCTGGAGACATCGTAGTGGCTTTTAAGTCCCTAGTAAGGTAATATTCTAGATATTCAATGAGACATACATTGTGAAAGGAGAATGTCTAGAACAGCAATATATTAACTGCAATTGCTCAAGAGTAAACCAATGTTCTCCCAATCGGGACTTGGATGCAGCTTGGCAAGCTCCCAAGTGGAGTCAACTTCGTGCTCAGGTGAGTCAACTCGGTTAATCTGAAGAGACACGACTTGGAATTTTTTTAGTTTATTTAACATATTTGTAAAAGTAATAAAAACAAAAAATGCGTAGGTAATTTATTAAGATAATTCAACCTCAAAATGTACATTTCACAATTAACTATAGCAACCACTTGTACATTACTTGGAACTACATGCAGCAAAATAAATTTTATGCTATGTATATTGTGTTACAGTTTCAATTAGGTTTTTAGTAATTACTATTGGGTTGGAGGAGCATGGTTTTTTAGGGAACCTAGGAAAGGTAAAAAAAATTCATGGTTTTCAGTGTAATTAGGGATAAAAAAAGCTTTGCCTAGTATTAGGGCTATTTTCAAAATTCTCATGATTTTGTGACTCGTCCGAGTATATGATTCATAGGAAAACTCAGATGTTTTGTACTGCAAATAGCCCAATCATGTATAAACCAAGTGTCCATTGTTTTTTAGTTTTGATTTCGCTCTGATCTGATTTGACTTGGCCATGACAGAGCCATGTTCGCATCAGCAAACAAAGGAGTAAACCTCCTATATACTATTGTGTTGCCATTTTTGTCAAATGATTCTTGCCTATAAATGAGAACTCTGAAGTTGGCAAAAAGTTTTAGGCCTTTGGTGGTTATCCCTTATGGATGTTCTCGGATGAATGATCGAGTGTATGCGAACAAATTTTGGGAAAATGATTGCCACATATGTTGCAACGCTGAATCTCCATACTTCCTACCAACTTGTATTGAAGGACATCCTTTGAGCAATAAAGCTACCAACTTGCCGTGAAATCTATGAAGTTCTTCAATGGCTGTGAATTTATTGAATCCAAATACATTCTAGTATGACAAGGTTTTCTGATTTTTTTTTTTTAAGATATTGTTCATGAGTATATGTACTCCCTTCTTTGCACCATCGTTCTTCCTTTGGGTTGAAAAGATTAGTTCTTTTTTGGTCTAGTTAAAGACTCATCCTCTTACAACTGTTACAGGTTTTTGAGCGGTTTGATGCCCCATCTATTGTCGATGCTGATGATGCACGTTTTAGTTTCTTTGTTAAGAAGGTAAGTCTAAAGGTTATGATGCTGATGATGCACGTTTTTTTGGTCTTGTTATTTTGTAAGATCTGCTGTTATGGAAATGGATTATCAATAGGTGAAAGCATAGGATGCAATAATTTGATGCTTGGTTTTGACCAGTGTTTGCAAAATCGAACCGGAATGGTTAATTGGACAAAGGCCCGGAAGCGGTTCAACCGGCCTAACCGGTAAACCGGCAGAGCCAACTGTTCTAACTGGACAAGTCTCAAGCGGTCAAAAAAGTGTTGAAAAAAATAAAAAGATACAAAAAAAAATCTAATAAAATATGAAAAGTATATTTAAATAACTATTAAACAAAGCACATCCAAATGAAGTTGAAAATTAATTAAAAAAAAATGAATTTCAAAGAGTCGATTTCTAAAAAAGATGGAAAAATGTAAAAATAAGTATTAATGACCAAAATAATTTCCAATCTTTGCCATAATGATTAAAAAATTAAAAGATACATTAGAAATAAAATCCATTATTTTTGGGATTTTATATATATATTTTTTTGAATTTTTTTTAATACCCGGTCGGTTACCAAAACCAGCCAAAACAGACTGGCTGGTTTCGATCTAACTGGCGGTTACCGGTTAGATCGCCCGGTTTTTCCAACAGTGGTTTTGAATTTTGAATTAGAAAATGCATTTCTTTCTTCTTTTCGATCATGGATCAAACTTGATAATGGTTTTTCTGTCACAGGTGTTCCCAAAGATTAAGGATTCTCTTCAGGTAACTCAGTTTTTCACTAATTTTCACATTCTTAGTTTAGATGCGAGTGCAACTATGACGCATTCTTCATTCGACCAAAAAAAAGAATAAAATTAAAAAGACTGCATTCATATGTGTCCTTTCCCTTCATTGTTATTCTAACTTTTGTGGTATTTTAAGATTGCTTCTTATAGAAAATAGGGTGGGGGAATCTTTTTTTTTTAATTTTTTTTAAGTGAGTGTTTTAAAACACTGCTGGGGAAGTGGAATTGGCAGCTGCCTAAGCCCGATGACTGGGGCAAATCAGCTCAGACTCGTCTAAGTCACGTCTGACCCATAAAAGGGGGCAACAGTATGTCAAAAAATAACTAAAAATTGTAATAAAAATTCCAAAATCAGAAAATTATAAAAGATACAAAGCACATATAAATCCAAAAAAATATGTAAAACATGGAATAGGCATATGTTGGTGCTATTGGCTTGGCAAAGAAAAAAGAAAAAAAAAAAAGAAATCTAAAAGATGGGAATTTCAGAGTTTAGAAAAAAAGAAAATCATAAAAAATAAAGTATATACCAAATGAAGTATAAATAAGTATATTTGATTTAGCAAAACATAAATCAATTTTATGATTCCAAATTGCAAAAATGAAACATGCCAAAAATTTAAGGCTGATCCCCTGATCTTTGAGTTACGATGCGAATCGATGCGTCCAAACCTAGTGAGAGCTTCATCAGGCAAGCAATTTGGTTTCGAGATTTCCGGATGAATAGTAAATCTAAATGATGAACAATAAATCTAAATTTCAGATCTGTCAAATCGTTTTTTTATGTGTGCGATCAATCCTATGATTGGTTGCATCAAGAAACCAAAATAAGTCTAGTGATCAAAATTCATCGAAGATTGACCATCAATTGCGAATAAATTGCAATCATTCAAAATTGTGCAAAAACATGACTCATTTTTTTTATCTCAAGAACTTGTCAAATCTAGTGTTTAATTCTCAAATCTAAGGCTTCTAATAGAAATGTCTGGTCAAAATCTAACTGAAGAATGAATTTTGGCATAAATCACTAAGGTCGAAGGCTCCAATTGAAAATACAAAGGAAAAAGATGGGCGAGTTACCCCCCTCCCCCCTCCTTTTCTTTTGTTATGTGACTTGTATAATACTTGGGCTTGTACTGTACCGATTCACTGTATTTGGGTGGATCTATACTATTAGTCTGGGATTGGACATGTCCATGCAGGATACATGTACCCTGTTCCGAACTTCGTACACTGCCTTTCGGACTTGGCATCTTACTGAGTCCAAGTCAACTTTGTTGAGTTTTATAACACTATCTCAAAGAATGATTTTAAGACCAGATTGAGCTGGCTGGTTTGGAAAAACCAGTGACCTGGTGGCTTGTGGTCTTGACTACCCCAAGATGGTCCAGTGAACTGGTACTGAACAGGTTGATCGTCCGGTCCAGTATCTAGATTGACTGGTTCACTGGTCCAGTAGAGAATCAGGTGGTCCTAATGGGATAAAAAATACTCAAAAAAAAAGGAAAACCTAAATATGTGTTTTTTGTGGGTTTCTTCATCCTTTTAAAGTATTCTTGGCTTATTTTGGTATTTTTTATTGGCGATGGTTTTGTTTAAAAAGGAGGATTTCGATTTTAGAGAGAAAAAGAGCTACTTTGGGGATACTTTCTCTCTCTCCCTCCCTC